CTTTTCTTATCAGTTTGGATCTTTTTACAGCCACTCTCCTCTTCCAGCTAAAACCTGCTGTGCAGTGAGCTTCAGAGGACAGAGGTAAAGGTGGTTTTTTTTTTTTTTTTTTGAGTTTTTATTTTGAAATAATTTTAGACTTACTGAAATGTTACAAAGACAGTACAGAGAGTTCTTGGGTACTTTTCAGCCACCTCCCTAATGTTAGCATCTAACATAACTGGAGAAGAATGACCCAAAGTAAGCAAGGAGCATGGAGGAATGGTATTTAGCCTTTCTTCAGATTCCCCTACTTGTCACACGCATGTCCCATTTCTGCCCCAGAGCCCCGTCCGGGACCCTGTAATGCATTTAGTTGTCAAATCTCCTCCGGCTCCTCTGGCCTGGGACTGTTTCTCATTCTCTCCTGATCTATTGTGATCTCGACACTTTTGGAGAGCACTGGTCAGGGATTTTGTGGAATGTCCCTCCACTTGGCTTTGTCCGGTGTTTTCTTGGGATTAGATGAAGGTTACGCGGTTTGGGGCAGGCGGCCTTCTCCGTGCAGGATGTTGGTGTGTCTCTTTGCTGGTGATGTCACCCTGGATCCCATGCCAGGAGTCTCCACTGGAAAGTTACTAATTTTCCCTTTGGGGACTGTGCAAATACCTTGTTTCCTCTCAAACTTTTGCCTGTCCGTTGCAGCGCCTGTCTGTGGATCCTCCCTGCCATAGTTGTTACTGTGATATTCACATAGTGACTTTGTATCACCTTCACTGCTTCTCCATGTTCGAATTAGAATTCCTTTGTAGAAAAGGGCGGTCCCTTCTCCCTCGTTTGTGGTACGTTTTTAATTTTGCATCGGCGAAGACTTACGCGATTTATTTTATCCTGTGGGTTATAGTCCAGTACAATCACTATTCTGTTGCCCGAATTGTCCTTGCTTTGGTCATTGGGCATGCCTTCTTTGGGGTCCTGTGTCCTTCCTTCATGACCTCATCCCCTGGGGAGGGTTGCCTTCCTTCCTGCTCCCATGAGATGCTCAGGCTCACCTGGTATATTCCCCGCCCCAACCCTGAAGTAGACCACTTCTCCAAGGAGGAGAGTGGGGACCAAGGAGTTCCTTAGGTTGGAGAACGATATTTGAACCATGATCTGGGTGCTGGGTGTGCGCAGTGCTAGGGGGCGTTGTGGCTTCTTCTGTCAGTAGACAGAGCTTAGAAATGTGAATCCTAACCCATGCCTGCATGCCTGTCTGTGTTTATTTTTGTGTCTGTCTATCTGTATATATATGTTTTTCAAAAACCCATGAGTTGGTTCATACTTACCTGATGGTAGAGTGTTCGGGTCAGTGGTCCTTCTGAGACTTGGGATGCTTCCCTGCCCTGTGAGGGGCATGCACAGCCCTTGCAGGCTTGGGTGGACAGCAGGGGATGCCAGGCCCCGTTTGAGGGCCCCTTGGGGCTCATGGCTGTGGAAGAGCGGGCCCAGTTGGACAGTAAGCCCTTCTGGGTCAGGTGGCTGAGGGAGTAGGTGAGGACTCCTTTCCTGTCTGGCCCAGAGACTGCCTGCTCAGCCTCTCAAAACCCTAGACGCAGCTCCAGGGCAAGAGTGGGCAGTGTGGTCTGGTATGGGCCAGCCCTCCGAACCCACCCTGAGGGTCCGTCCTGGGCAGCTGAGAGCTGATAGGACCAAGGGCCTCGGGTACCTCAGCCAGGGTGGGGAGGCCAAGCCCGTGGGGTCCCCAGACATGCCACCAGCTGGTGGCAGTTCCCAACGCCTTGGCCTTTAGGTACAGCTGGCTCTTTCCCTGTTTCCTGCTCCTGCTGCTTCCTGGCCCCACCTGCCTGCCCTTTGCAGAGGCCACTTTGTACGCTGCTTCGGCGTCTGCCTACTCACGGTGGGCACATTGGAATAACTACATCTTCTAATGGTCAGATTGTGCCTTTTTAAGAGAGAAAATGGTCAGACTGTGCCTTTTAAGGGCATTGATGTCTGATGTCTCAGGTCGTCACTGGAGGCTCTTACCTTGCTGCAACCGGACTCCCCTCCCGAGTTCTATTCTTAGCGCCCCAGATTTCCCAGGACCCACAGTGAGGTCAGCGGCTGGGCTGGGCCAGCCTGGGCAGCGGGAGGCATCAAACCCAGCCTGCCTGGGCCTTTTTGTTTTGTTTTCTTTTTAAACGTTACTGAGACTTTATTTTTTAAAAAACCATTTTGGAATTTGCAGAGAAATTGAGAGTGTCCCCCCCCCCCCCGATTCCCCACTGGGCTGTTCTGTCAGGCTGGGACCCTGTTGCAGTTAATGGACAGTGTTGATACCTTCTCAGTAAGCAAAGTCCACAGTTTATTCTGATTTCCTCAGTTTCCCCCAATGTCCCTTTTCCATCCCAGGCTCCCATGTGACACGGGGTCATCACGTCTCCTTGGGCTCTTCTGGGCTGGGACAGTTTCTCAGACTTCCCTGGTGTTTGATGCCCCTTGACAGTGGCGTGGAGCATGGAGAAGGGGTTTTTGTAAGAAGCCCCTTCCTTGGATTTGTCTGGGGTTTTTCTCATGGTAAGACGGGGGAGGGATGGGTTTTGGGAGGAAGACCCCTGAGTCAAGTGCCCTTCTCCTGACGTCACTGCAGACGTTGGCCTCAGTCCCCTGGCTGAGGTGGGCAGTCAGGTGTCTCCACTGCAAAGTCACTCTTCTAGTTTCCATGCTGTTCTATTTGGGAGGAAGTCACCGTGCCCGGCCCACACTTCAGGGCCCTCTGATCCCTCAGCCCCAGACTGCCTTGTGCCCAGTGGGCCTGTGGTTGTGTCTGAGGCCAGGCCCTGGCATCCCAGAGCCCCCAGGGTGGCTGCCGGCCAGCCGTGGAGGGCCCGCAGCCCCTGAAGGAGCCGTGGAGGTAGGTGAGCCGCGCCCCTTGTCCACTGTGGACATGGGTCAGGGTGGGTGGAGGCCTCACTTCGGGCTGTGGCCTGGGAATTGGGGCCTGATCCCAGCCCCAGAGCTTCCAGCCTCTCAGCATGGGGGTCAGTGCTCTTGGCGAGGGCAGAAGAACCCACGACATTGGTGGCCCGGCAGCCGTGGGTAGCAGCAGATGGAGGTATGTCCAGCTGAGAACCACAGGCCCTAGTGGTCTTGTGTTTCAGACCATGTGCTGGTGGGTGAGGCCCGCACAGGGACAGTTCCCAGTGATGAGGGAGGCACGTGATCCCATCAACACAGGAGCGAAAGGTGGAGGCCGGCAGTTCAGTTCGCAGCCTGGAGCCTGCACCATCCGTGGAGGTGGAAAGATCCCTCAGCTCTCCTGAAATCTGGGAAACACACTTGCACCTCGAAGCTGCTGTGTTAGTCTCCCTGTGCTGTTGTAACAACGAACTGCAGACTTACTGACTTAAAACAGCGCACACTGATGATCTTGGATCTGGAGGCCAGAAGCCCGACCTGGGTCTCACTGGGCTACCGTCAGGGTGTGGGCAGGGCTGGCTCCTCCTGGAGGCTCCGGGCAGGATCCGTTCTTTGTTCTTTGCCTTTCCGGCTCCTGGAGGCGCCACATTCCCCACCTAATGGCCCCTTCCTCCATCTGCATGGTGTTGGTGTGTCCGTGGGACCTCTGCTGGTGTTGTCATGTCTCTTTCTCTGACTCTGACCCTCCTGCTCCACTCTTGGGAGGACACTGGGCCCACCAGATAATCCGGGATCCTCTTCCCATCTCAGGGCCCTTCACTTAATCCCCGCCCCCCGCACCCCCACCCAGCAGAGTCCCTTTTGCTGTGGAAGGGAGCGTGGCCACAGATCACAGGGATTAGGACCTGGACGTCTTGGGGGCTGTGGTTCTGCCAGCCACAGCTTCCTGGAGGGGTTCCAGAGTCATCGGATTCTCAGACTCGAGCCTTGCCGACGGCAGGGGCTGGTGGGGCTGGGCAGCGGGGAAGGCTTCAGCCGCACAGGTGGGAGAGGCCCCCGGGAGAGCCGCCAGCAGTTTACCTCGCCCAGAAAATGTGTGCAGCCCGAGGTCCAGCAATCTCACAGCTCGCTGGTGTCGTTCAACCCTGGGCCTGACCCGTTAAAAGACAGTGAGATCTGTTTAATGGGGTCATGCCCGGGAATTTTAAAAACCAGAGAAAAATAAGAGAGAATTCCAGCCTACCTTGCGCACCGTGAGGGGTGTTGGTGAAGCTTGTGTTATGTGGAGAAAGTGTGCGGAACTGCATTTAACAAAGCCACTGCCCCCTGGGGCGAGCTGCCCTGCCCAGGGGGACAGGCCGTAGGGGACACTGGAGTCTTGGATGGCAGGCATATGAAGGCACAGAGGTGGGGGTGGGGCTGGGGATCCGGGAGATCTTGTGCTAGCAGGAGCTGAGGTGTCTGGAGGGGTGGGGGCAGGGAGGGTGGAAGAGCCAAGGTAGTGGCCATGGCCTGGATCATCAAAGGTCCTGGGGCTACACCCAAAGTCCGGAGTCTTGTCCTGCATCCATTCAGCAAGTACTGGGGGTCTCTGTGCCCAACTGTAAAGTCAGTGGTTGGGACCCTGCCCTCCGTGGGGTCTTGGTTCTGTACAGCCCCTGCCATGTTCTCTCCCTGTGCTCCTTGCTTGCTGGGGGCGTGGGCAGTGGCCACTGGGCCATGGTGTTGTCCCTGGGACTTTCCTCCTTGGAGGTGTGCCTTTCTGGCTGTTGGGGTTTGGAGGAGGTGGAACTTCTCATGAACCTCTCAGTAGCTGCCCATACCTTAAGGTTTCCAGAAGCTTCTTTGGCTTAATTTGATTGTTTCATGGAGCCTCTCACTTCCTCCACTACTGATTTTTAGGAGCTGAGCTTAAAATGGGTAGTCACAGGAGGACTTTAATGGGGAAAGTGCTTATAGCTATGGATTTTAGTGTTCTTGCAAATTGGCAAGGAATTGGAAATGTCTGGATGAAGGCAAGCGTCCTTGGGCTACGCGCAGCTGTTCGGAATAGAATCTGGACTTAAGGTTTAAGCGTGCAATCAATTTAGTTAATCGCGCTTTTATTTTGTGCATTTTAGGAACCATCACCATTGCCGGGACCTCATAGAAACCCCTGCCAGTTACCGGGGCACCTCTCATCACGGCCGTGGCTACAACTGGGTCTTCAAAGTAAGTGCCCAGGTGGCCGCGGGAGAGCAAGGCGCTGCCGCAGGCCACAGCCCCTCCCAGGCTTGCACGCACCCCGGTGGGAGAAGGTGGCTCCTGTTTGGTCCTGAGTTTAGGGGTGTCCAGGGTCCAGGCCAAGGAGCCTAGAACACCCTCTGGGGTTTGTTCTGCGGGCTGTTTCTTCTCTAGTCCATGCGCTTACGTTTGTGCCCTGGTCCTTCAGCGTCTGAGCAGGGAGTCTGCTTCTCCCTCTGACCCTTAAAAAAAAAATCTTAAAAAAAGGGCTACGCTTCACGTTGTGCATTTTGGGGGATGCTGGGCTCGCCCGGCTTGAGCTGCCCCATCTGTGTCGTGTGGGTCAGGTGTGACAGTGCTTCTGGGCTCATCGAGGGGCATATTCCCCCCATCCCATGTCCTATAGGAAATGATGACCAGTCACAGTGGAGTGGTGGCGGGGATCTTTAAGAATGGAGAATTATTTTTAAAATACCTTTAAAAGAATCCCGTTGCCCAGCTGTTCTGGGTTTTATGGCTGTCCACTTCCTCCTGTACTTTTTTTTTTTTTTAAGATTTTATCTATTTGTCAGAGAGAGAGAGTGGGCGCGCACACACAAGCAGGGGGCAGTGGCAGGCGGAGGGAGAAGCAGGGGACCCGATGAGGGACTCCATCCCAGGACAGAAGGCAGACACTTAATGGACTGAGCCACCCAGGCGCCTCACTCCTGTACTTTTCTAATAAAGGGGGGACAGAGGGTTTTTTGTTTTTTTTTTTAAGATTTTATTTATTTGAGAGAGAGAGAATGAGTGAGAGAGAGTGCGCACATGAGAGAGGGGAGGGTCAGAGGGAGAAGCAGACTCCCTGCTCAGCAGGGAGCCCGATGCGGGACTCGATCCCAGGACTCCAGGATCATGACCTGAGCCAAAGGCAGTTGCTTAACCAACTGAGCCACCCAGGTGCCCCGCTCCTGTACTTTTCTAATAAAGGGGGGACAGAGGGTTTTAAAGAAGTGGCCTCTGATGGTGGTCCAAGGCTATGGCTCATAAGAAGAGAGGGTACAGGGCGCATCTCATGTGCTCTCTCATTCTCTCTCTCTCAAATAAATAAATAAAATCTTAAAAAAAAAAAAAGAAGAGAGGGTACAACCTAATCATCTCCTGGCTCATATCCACGGAGCAGGGGTTGGGAGGGGCGGTGACCTGCGTGAAGGGTTGGTCAGTGTGGGATGAACAGTCCTGTGTGCTCCCTGGCCATTTCACACTGGCTGCTCCTGGTAGCCTGAGAATCGTGTTCAGTGTTGAGCTCCAAGGCCTCAAGGCTAATTGGGCCAAGCATGGGCTGGATTGTGGCCTTCTCTGTTCCGCCATGATTTAGGAACTCAGGGAGATGGACAGTGGAACTCAGGTGCCCCTTTAGGAGGGGTGAAGTAAAGGTTTTGACTCTTGAAGGGTAGACTTCGGGCATCTGGTTCTGGGGTCAGCAAGCTGTGGTCTGCAGACCAATCCGGCCCACTGCCTGTTTTTGTAAGTAAAGTTTTATTAGCACACAGCATTCATTGACATGTCATCTCTGTCAGCTTTCTCCTCACAGTGATAGAATCTAACGAGCAGTTGTGACAGAGACTATGTGACTTGCCAAGGCGAGAGTATTTACTGTGTGGTCCTGTACAGAAAAGGTGGACTGCCCTTGACCTAGGTTCATTTGTTGCTCGCTAGGGCTGGATGGTTTGGAAATGGTCTGTTCTGTGTCTCTTCAGACATTGATTGCCTTTACCCTTAAAGCTTGTGCTTTGTTGTAAGGCAACCAGATCACTAAAGCTTGGCTGTTGTCTTTGTACCCAATGTGATCAATGTGACGTGTTCTGTGTGCGTAGCTTGCCCCCATGCGGCTAGATTAACCTTTAGCGGTCCCTTGCTGCAGTCATCCTGACCTGTCCTCTCCCTCGATCAGTCCATTTTACAGCTAAAGAAACTGAGCGCCACAGCTGGAAGGGGTGGGAAGGTTCTCTGGCGAGGGCGGAGATGTGAATGAAACTACTGGCTCCTTCTCCAGAAGGCCTGGGGCGTTCAAGGAGATCAGAGTCCTTGAGACAAACCAGACTGGTTCACTGTGGCCTGGCAGGTCTCCAGTAGGCTGCTGCGGACTTTGTAAAAAAATTCATTTTTATGCAGACAGAATTCATATGCTGTAATAGTCACCCTTTAAAGTGTACAATTCAGTGATTTTTAGTATATTTGCACAGATATGCAACCGTCACCACCACCTAATTCCAGAGTATTTTATCACCCTGAGAAGAAACCCATCTTGTAATGTAATGTACATTAAGCAGTCACTCCCCGGCCCCCGCGGGCCCCCTTCCCGTCCACGGATGAGCCTCTTCTGGACGTGTCACACGCTGGACTCACACACACCGTGTGGCTTCTGTGTCTGGTTCCCTCCCTGAGTGTCGTGGGCTCAGAGTCTGTCCCTGGGGCAGCGCGTGGAGGGATGCACTGTGTTTAGCCGTTCATCCGTCAGTGGACTCTTAGGTTCTTTCCACTTCTGGGGTATTACAAACGATGCTGCTGTGAACATTCGTGTACAAGTTTCTGTGCGGACATATGTTTTGCTTTTCTTGGGGGGATGCCTTGCGTGGAACTGCTGGGTCATGGGGTCCTTTTGTGCTTCACCTTCTGAGTTACTGCCACCCTGCTTCCACAGCAGCCGTCCCATGTCCCGTTCCCCCAGCCGTGGGCGAGGGCCCTGGATAGCCCCCGCCGTGCCCAGGCCCGCCAGCGCCGACGTGAAGTTGCAGGGCGAGGTTGTTTGTGGGGGTCTCATGTCCAGATACAGCTTCTGTTGACGCGGCCCCCGCATCTGGCTGCCCCCTGCGGATCTAACACTGCGACCCGAGGGGGGCTGCTCTTCCCGCTCCGTGGCCTGGGACATCGTCCGTGTCTGTTTAGACTGTGGGGAGAGCAGGGGTTGTGGACCCCCGTTTATAGCTCCGTCCCGTTTCCAATTTTCTAGAAAGTGCTAATGTCTGAGTGAGCGTGGGCAGATGCGCTCGTCTCCCTGAGATGTGCCACGCAGCAGCAGTCTCCGGGTTGGAGGGATGTGATGACTGTTCCTTCTTTCTTTGCATGATGGATTTTTCACATGGCACTTGCTGCAGACTGAACAGTGCTCCCCGAGAGTGCCCGCACCCCACTCCCGGGAGCATGTGACTATATTCCCTCGCCTGGTAAAAGGGTCTTGGCATCTGGAATTTTGTGAAGGCCCCCGAGATGGGAGATGTTACTGGATCATCTGGGGCCCCAGTGTCAACACAAGGGTCATTACGAGAGCAAGGCAGAGGGTCAGAGTCTGAGAGATGGGCAGACCCCATGCTGAGGGCCGTGAGGATGGCGGAGGGGCTGCGGGCCAGGGATGCGGCCCCTTTGGAAGCGGGAAAAGGGAGGGAAGCTCCAGAAAGAACTCAGCCCACGTGCGATCCAGGACAGACTTCTGGCCTCCAAAAGGATAAGATAATAAAGTTACAATGTTTTAATCCATTAGGTTTATGGTGCTTTGTTACCGCAACCATAGAAATGAATGCATAGGGTTATGGGTGATTCTTCCTTTGGGCTTTTTGGACTTTGTATGTCTCTCAGATAAACGTTAGGCTAGTTTTCGGTCTGCTGCTCGTGGCTCCCCACCTCTTCAGTGCACGAGAACCTGGTCCAGCCACACCGCCTTCCTCATGGCTCTTGACCTTGCACTTCGTACTTGGCCCTGGCCTCCTGCCTTCCTGTCCCTGGGAGGTGCTCTGCCTGCTGTGTCCCCTTCTGTCTCTGTGACCATTTCAGGCTGGCCAGTACGGTGGGAGCAAGTCTGGCACCCTCTCTGGGCTGCGCCTGGTACTTCTGCCCACTGCCTGCCCCCGTGAGCTGTCCTTCTGGGCCCCTGCTCCCACTGGCCCGTTTCTCCTGCTGCTCGGAAGGCCACACAGAAAGCTCCCCGAGCTGTAGTGCCACGGGCCACAGGGCGAGGGTTCTGTGACCCCGGGGTTGGCAGGTGGTTGCCCCCCTGCCGTGTGGGCTCCACGAGGCCAGGGATGGTGTAGAGAACCTGGGGCATAGTTGGAGGAGGACATGGAGGACGTTGTACTGTCTTCCTTGCTGCGCACAGACCACACGCAGAGCTACTCGTGGGACACGGCCCACGTGGGGGGCGGGGCGATGGGGGTTGGAGGGGGCCCTTGTGTTAGCTCCGTAGGAGGTTCTGTCTTGATCCCTGGTGAAGGAATACAGGCTCCTCCTGGGCCCTGCTCCTGCTCGGGGGCCCCTCTGCCGCCAACCCCTACTGGGAGCTGGGCTTTGTTGGCAGAAGCCGTACGGAGGTGGGAGCCCGGAGCTCAAGGCTGGGCTGGGAGGTGTGAGCTTCATCCGATGGCCAGACCGCCTGGCACGGGGACTAGTGCGGGCAGGTGGAGGTGAGGGCCCGGGATAGAGCGCTAGGGGAGAGATGCCCCCTTGGGGCAGGGGATGGGCCTCACCGAGAAGGACTGCGGTCCCCAGGGAACTTTCAGACCTTGTGGCATGGAGCCCCTAATACTTTTCAAGTCAAATGTAGTTAAATGTTTCTCAAGGTTATGCTTCCTTGTAAGGTTCCATTTGCTCAGAGGACGTACTTTCCAGCATACTGAATGTCAAAACCTCAAAGATGCAGGTCCCGCTCATTCAGTTTCTGGAAGATGTCTGCCATTGGGCCTCATAATCCCATGGGGTCAGTCTCTGAGCTCATCAGTCAGAAAACCAGGCTGACTCCCGGGCAGGGGCAGTCCTCTCATCTCTGATTCTGGCTCCCATAGAGACGGACAGAGTGTGCGCTGGCCGAGGGGCTGTCCCCTGGCAGTGGGAGGCCCATCCCTCAGGCGTTTCTCACCCACTCCCTGGGGTGGCTCTTGCGACTCAGTGCACCCCCACTGTCAGGATCTGGGGGGGGCCTCTGCCCCAGGGTTGGAGTCTAGATATGGGGAGAGCCT